CCTGCTCTTTTGCTGTCAGGATATCTGGGAGAGAGTCAGCATTCCTTTATGCTGGTACAGGGCATGAAACATGAAGGGCTGAATATAACTCATCTTAAGACATTTAGAGTTTTTGCAACTCCTGTCCAAGTATTTCTGAAGCAACACTGAGTTTTCATCAGAGAAGGAAACAAAAGGACTTGTTCTGATTCTGAAGTGATGGTTGTCAGGATCTGGCTAATCTTATTTTTGAGCATACTTAAGGAAAGTACAGAGTACGATTTGCTTTGTTGTAAATAAATTGTGTAGGCTTGGTAATCTCATTTAACTTGCACAATGAAGTTGCTCTGACTTTATCCTTCCCTTCATGTTAAGTGAAGCTCTAAACAGTGAACAGAAACCAATTCAGAAGAAAAGTGCTGCTCAGACTTTTACAAGGGCAATTACATAAATTGTTCCTTGCCACAGTCTCGCATGCAAAAACTAATACAAGTTGAAAATAGTAATAAATCTAAGCTAGACTACTATTTGGTGAGTCATCCCTCCAGAAAAGTCAGTATCATTTGCAACAAACTGGTTCATAACTAACCTAGTTCCCCAAATTTTATTTTTAAAAATCCAGATGGCCAGGAACATATTTTTCCATGTTTGATGTTTTATTATATATAAAAGGATTTTTTGGCAGCACTATTGGAATACATTGATGCTGTCAATGGTTGATTACACTTGTATCACACTGGTTTATCTTTTGTTACTGCAGAAAAGGGGAGACTTTGTAAAGTTTACCTGGTAAATGACTTTGCTCCTGTTCAAAACAGACAAAGTACACCAAAAAAAAAAATAACAGTATGCATCAGAGGACTAGTGATTTGGTACTACTGTTAATTCCCCGTATCCTTACTTTTTTTTGATCTTCACAAAATAAAAGAAGGTTAGTTAATGGCTGATATGGTCAAGAAATATTTTTAAAAACACGAAACCTTGTCTTTTTTTTCCTTTTCTCTCAGCACTATCACATCCTACTCTTTTATTTTCCCTGACTAAATTAAGCTCCCTGCCATGCTCAATTGTGTTTTATTTCCTACAGTGAGGTCTAAGAGAACACACCACATTTCAGAGCAAGGAAGTAGGAAAAACAGGTTTCACTAGTGATAATTTTAAAAATAAGAGTGCATCATCTGGATATTTAGACACAGAGTCACAACAGGGATTTCTGACATCCATTAGCAACTTTTTCTACCCAACAGATAAATAATTCTGATAACAGCTTGAAGGCTGACCCTCTGTTTGTAGAAAAAAATCTAGGGATGGGAAAGTGTATCAAAAAAAGTAATTCCTCCAAACCATGGTTTGATGCTGTAGTGATTTAAAACTAACTTATTCTATGGACTGCATAGCTGGACTACCCTGTGAGATTAAAGTTTTACAAACTAGGCCATTTATTAGGTCCCTAATTAATACTCATGGACTGTCTTCAAGGATTTGGGATCCAGAGAGCTGAGGTTGATGTGTTCCTAGGATAGTAAAACTAAAAACCTCAAAAAACTGCTTTTTGATGACAGCAAATAGTCAAATTACTCCACAAAGAACTGAGCAAACCAGGGACTGTGAAACAAATTTGTCTGCAGTCCTGATGCAGTAGTCTGTGCATGGAGAGTCTGCAATGAGCGATACAGGTGTACTGATACCTTCAGGGGGCTGGTGCCTTGGCTGCACTGATACCTTTTTGGGGCCTAGAAAAGCTCTCAAGGTTTCTACCAACCCTATTTTTTTTTGTAATCGTGTTAAGAATCCCTTTCTCTAGTTTAGTTTCCTTTGCTTCTGAAATGTCTGCAATTTATTCCCCAACAGCAGCCCAAAAAAGTTCTTCCCATAACAAGCCCCATCAGATTTTTCAAGAGCTGTGATCCCCTGTGTCTCAGTTTTGTTTAACAGTGCTCACAGAGGCAATATCACAGCTCTAACTAAGCTTCATGTTGTAGGGGGTGGGGAAGGTGCTGGGATTTGGGGTGTTTGTGTGGTGGTTTCCAATTCAAATACAGGGCACCTGACCTGATCTTGTTGGATCTGAGGAAATCAAACTACTAGCAAATCAGTAAGGCTGCACAGGGCTTAGTAACCAAAATTTTTGTACTGCTGTTTAGAAAACGTAAAATCAAAAATCCTAACCTTTTCCAGGACTAATAGCTGTCAGAGGAGGCCTGTGACCACTCATCTTCTCCAGCTTTTCTTTTTGTGAAATCAGCTCAAGCTCCTTCCTTTCCAACAGTTTGCTACATGGGTAAAAAAGTCCAATGGTTTGGGTTCCTTTGTCTTCTCTTTCTTTTAGTTCTGCCTTAGTTTTGGGCAAGGGAATAGGAAGAGGCTGACAGGCAACTTGAGCTTGCAATTGTTTAGCCTGTGTGGGTTGGAGGGGAAGGAAAAGTGTAAGTAATATAGATATAATTAAATGGTTTATAAGCAGAAATTAGCTAGAACAGTACACAAAATTGTAAAGGAACGGAAAAGCTGGAAGGAAGAATCATTAACAATTATTGATTGTTAATTACTGGTCTGTAACAACGATGCAACTTATCCCAGCTACTCAAGGAAAAGCAAAACTCTTTCGTGGTTGCCAGCAGAATGACATGTATGCTTTTGTAGGACAAAATCTGGCCTTGGTCAGTACTGTAAGTATTGGTACTTGGTAATTATTTTTTAAAGCAGAGCTTTAAAAACTGCATATGCATGAAAGAATACCTTGTATCAGTAGGGCACTAATTAACAAGTAATAAGGTAAAAGTGCTTAAAGAGCTAAGACATGAAAAGCTGATTGTTTCTTACTTTGCCATGTAGAATAAGACTGGCTTAAGGCCTTTTGCTACAGCTACTTTTTGGCATAAAGCAGTTCTTAGAACAAACATCCTCAGTTTTGCCCCCAGCATGCTCACAGACCACAACGCTGCCTCAGACAGGAAACGAGTGGAGTTGTGCCAGTCTATGGCCACGGTGGACTAGCCTTTTAGCAGTGTTCAAACCCGGCTTTGTAATACTCTGTCTTACCTCAGAAAGCCCCAGCAAGTCCCCAGTATCCATCAGGATGCTGTTGTGGGAAGCCACCCTTGATGTGGGCTCTATGCAAACGCCACAGGCCCCGCAGAAGCGAGCGTAGAGATGGTTCTGTGTGCCACACTCCAAACAAGTGAAGCAGGAGGGAGGAGGCCCAGGCTGGAAAGTTCAATGGAACACTTGTCACTACAGAAACATGTGATGCATGGATTAGGAATAATGACAGCAGTGCCACGAATGAAAGGAAGTAAAGAAGCTCTACCTAAAGCTATTAGATTAGAAGTGCTAACCAGCATGCCAGATTGCTAACATACTGGCAGATACAAGACACTCATCTTTAGATACCTGAGCACTATGCTATGGAAGGAAACAATTTGTCAGACAGATCTAGCATTATGGTATGTTAATTTTTAACATAAGCTTTCCAACATACTTATTTTCTTTGGCAAAGCCCTGTAATTACTAATCTGGTGCTCTCATGCTGAATATTGGTGGCAGTTATTTCCAGTTCAATTCTAACACCACCACTCAAAGTCGCTTGGTATAGTATGGGACCAGTGGCTATGTATGGGTATAGGTGAGTGTTTCAAATTTTCTGTGGACTTAACTCACATTAAAAAAAATAATTCTCCTTGAGTGTGATTAGACTGAAACACTATGCCTATAAAAATACATGCCAGGAGAAATTGTTCACATTGATTGTACCATGCAAAAGGTCTACTCAGCAGTAGTTAAGTCCTTGCCTTTACTAAAGTTAATGAGGTTTCAGCTAAAAACAATTGCATGCATCATCTTATCTCTGGTAATTGCCTGTCTAGGTGATCATAGCCTGGAGATGGGCTAACTTGGGATGGGAAAGCTTGCATTAGGTTACTCTATAATATTTGATGGGTAAGTTTCTTTGGCAGAGTACACAGCTATTCTATCTCAGCTGATGCTCACTGGCCCATGGTACTTTGTTTACCTCTCCAAACCCTTAAGTCACTGACTGATGTGGGGTCAGGATGTCATCTAAGCCTTTCAGTTTTCTTTACATAATCCCACATACTCTAAGCAAGTATTTTGATAATAAGCTGTGTACTAACTGACAAAGAGTTTTGCAAAGAGAAGTTTGAAATTGCTGCAGGTCACAGAGGAGCAAAACCAGATTTGCCAACACAAACAGTGAGAGCACGTGCCTTGGCTCCACACCAGTCACAGGAATGGGCATCACATGGCTTAACACGGTTGCATTTTGAGCATGAAACTGTCTTCTCTTCCTGGCTGTGGTAAGGCAGGGGGGTGTCTCCTCCAAAGGTGGGCTAAGGAAATAAAACAAGCATTAGGGAGAAAATACTTCTTATGAAGAAAATTTCTCAAGCAAAATATGGGGAAAGAGGAAAGCAAGCTACACTGATAACATAAATTAATATTTAACCTAAAATAATTATTTTATCTTAGAATAAGGAATAGACTGACTTGGATCTAACCTGAATTTTTTTTTTCCACTACAAAACCAAAGTAAAATGTGGCATTAATTGCTTTTAAGGTATTTTTAGCAGAACTAGTGAGAAAAAAAAAATCCAACAACTTTATCAATGGTGTCCTTTTACAGTGAGTATTTATTATTGTGGTCCACGTATAAGTACACTCAAAGTTAAGAGGGAGGTTTCTCTGCTGATAAAGTTATATTTTCAAATTCAAAACAACAGCTAGTTTTCTTTGTACTTTTGTAGTAGTAATGGCAGGGAGAATGTGTTCAGACTATGAGTTTTCTCTCAGTTTGGTATTTACCACATAAATCTTTTGTTTGCACTCTTTCACCTCATATAAGTTATATATTACCTAGCTTTCCCACTACAGCTAACTTACATGGATATGCAAAAGAAAACAGATTTTTTCAGCTGAAACTTCTAAAGGTTGAGTATAGATCCTAGTTAGGACAAATAGGTCCTAAATGTTTAGTTTGGTTTTGCCTCAGGGCAAATGTCCCATCATGTTTTTATGCAAGACTTTTCAGAAGGGAAAGTAAAATTCTTCTACGGAATCAAATGGGGGACAGCAATTTTAGGGGGATATTTACTGTTGCTTTTCTCACCTCTGTGCAGAGTCACAGCCAAATACAAGTATAGTAGGGGAAGCAGCAAATGGAGATAAGGAAAATAAAGTAAAAGAATGTTTTATTTTCACAAAATGATTGAAACCAATGAGAATAATGCTCCTGATGTATATATGCAAGCTTTCTATTGCAACTGCAAATAATCTGAACACAAACAAGACTCCCTTGGAGCTAAGACTACTCATCTTCCAGGAGCCTCCTGAGCTTCAACAACAGCATTTGCAATTCTGACCTCCACAGGAGAAACTTGAAGGTAGACAGTACACCTGTGTTTAGCTGGACATGTGTGATGGAGCATCTGTAGGGGTACTGAGCTAGAATATGGCATGGGGGAGGGACTCTCTGCTTTTGTAACATAGACACACAGGGGTATGACTTCAGGTTTCCCAAGAAGAATGTTATGTTGTGGTTTGATTTGATTAACTCGTGTGATTGCTGCAAGAAGCCTCACCATGTGCATTTCAGGCAGTTTGTTTTCACAAGTCACACAGTGTTTATGGTGAAGAGGATTTCCTGTGCCACACGCCTGACAAATTATTTTACCCTTTTAAACAGAGAAAGAATATATTTCATATAGTATTTGAAAAGTGTGAACAACAACATTAAGAGGGCTTACCAATTCTTTCCTCACACCCTTTTCCCTGACCAGGGGGGTCGAGGAGGGGCCCTGCCTGAGTCCTCATACCCCTGGGTAGGGAATATTTTGTAAGGCAAATTTTGTCCAGTTAAGACCACCAGCACTTTGGGATCACTAAGGCTGTGCTCTAATATCGTGGGCATATGCCCACTGCCCCTGTCCTGCTAGCCCATCTGTGCCAAGCACTCAATCAAATGAGGTAAGCAGAGTAATAAAGACATATTTAATAAACTTCAATCCTTAGTAATACTAAGGCCATAAATCATAGAATATTTCTACTGAACACAAGTGCATGCATTCCTGTCATTTGCACTGTGACATCCTGCCTTCTTCAGCATCCCTTCCTGAGCTTATGTGGTGTACTTTTAACAGTTATTTCTATTCAAGGTGGTTTTAATCCTACTAACTCTTGAAGCTTTTGTAACGTATATAAACTCAAGTTGGATCAACATATTAGGAGTGAAATATCTGTTAGAATGCATACTAGGAGGTAAATTGCTGTTTTCTTATATTTATTCTCAATTACCTTTATGCAGCTGTGGGTTTGGGGCTGCAGCTGTGGAGCTGTTGGTGACTCACATACAATGCAAGTGGGTGTATTCTTTGGCACAAGATGTCTGCATTCAACACATGGTGCCATCTGAAGAAACAGCATTCACATTTTGAAGAAAAACATCATGGCATGCTAACGACTATAATGAGATCATTAAGCTTATAAGGAGATTTTTTGGTATTTTCCTGATTAGAGTACACATCAGCATCAAAGTAACTGGAAACTTGGCAAGTGACAGCAACAGATGCTGATACTAATCCTTAAAGATCAAAGGCTATTGAGAAAATGTGAAGATAACTGGAAAGAGAATGATTTGGTGACTGCTAAAAATATGCCAAAGAGGTACTAAGTTAATGTTCAGTAAAATTAAAATGGTACTATAAAATCATAGAATTACAGGCTGGTTTGGGTTGGAAGGAACCTTAAAGACCATCTAGTTCCAACTCCTCTGCCATGGGCAGGGACACCTCCCACTAGACCAGGCTGCTCCAAGTCCCATCCAACCTGGTCTGAAACACCTCCAGTGATGGAGCACCCACAGCTTGCCTGGGCAACCTGTTCCAGTGTCTCACCACCCTCACAATCAAGAACTTCTTCCTTATATCTGATGTAAATGTACCCTCTTCCAGTTTAAAACTGTTATCCCTTGTCCTGTCACTACAAGGCCTTGTAAAAAGTCCCTCCCCAGCTTTCTTGTAGGCTCCCTGGTCTCCTCCCAATTGCTAACCTAAACTAAAGAGATGGTGAATATTCTCAGTCATTGCTTGAAACTACAGCATTGCCCCAGATGAGACATCTTTCTGATGATACAGGAAAAGAAAATACACCATTATCTGGTCGGATCAGGTTATTATCTCTTGGGAAGAGTTTAGAAAAGACAGTTAAAAGCATCACTGTAAAATCTCAGTGCTCTTACACAGGTCCACACATGCCACTGTTTAAGCTTTCAAGCACATTAGATGGAACTTCTACAGCTATGACATAAGCACTAATTACTAACTAACTGCACTAGTTAGGACTGAAATAAGATGCATCAGATGCAGAGAAATCTGAATCTGGTGAAGCTTCCTGATGCAGGCAAATAAAACACAATTTACTTTTTCATTGTTATCCTTATTAAAATATTTAGCTCTTTATCTATGGTTAATTCTGCCTATCATTTAAGTATTACATCAGGTCCACTGCTAAAAGTATTGAATAAAATAAAACAATTGGAATCGAACCTCCCAAATGCAAATGTGACTAAATACTGTTTTTGCCAGCATTGAATGTGTAGTTTGCTGAGGAAGCTGTTTTCTCCAAGGATGATGTGTTGATCACTATGATGTTTTGCTGACCTGTGCTCCTTCAGGGGACGGGAAGCGACGCACGGGCACGGGTGGGACAGGAGATCCACATTCCTGACAGAAGTTCGCCAGGGGGTCAGACAGACGAGGTGCACAACAGCCTGCACATCTGAAAAGAAGAGCAAACTGCCTCAGCTTCTGTAGGTATTGTACTGCTGCTTGATAATGAATAATCTGGAACTTGTTGTGACAACACGCGAGGCCACTGATTTCTCAGTTTTGGTTTCCAGGCTGTGGTAGTTCACCAAAATATGCTCCAGCACCCATGATAGGAGGTTCTGAACTCTCAACAAGGTTTGCAAAGTAGAAAGCTTTCTGGCTGTAGTTTTTTGTAGTTTCTTGCTCACCACGTGAGGTAAACAAGCCTGCTGACACACAAGCTGTATGAGGACTCACTGCTGCAACATGGGGAACCACTAATGTAGGTCACACAACCCTTTCAATACTGATAAGCATTAATGTTTTGTGAGGCTGCTCCAGGGAGCAGTTTTCACCTACAGCAGTGAGGGCTGTATTCTAATTTGAAAAGGCAGCTTTTCTTCTCATCCTAAAGGCATTAGGATTTTTTTTTTTTTAAGGACGGTAAGATAGTCAATAAGTGTGTATGGTGAAATGTAAATAAGACTATATGTAAGAGAGAATTTTCAAAGCCTTACTTAGATCATAATTTCCAGTTATGAGCCAGTGTATGTCTTTGCTTTCCACATTTTGTAGACTCCATAAGTATTATCAACTTGGCTGCAAAAGGCAATTGCTCAGTTACTTTCCAAGGACAATTATGTTAAGAGGAGAAGTCACTTACTTGAGGAAATCTGTTTCCCTCTGGATCCTTGATAGGCGTGTGCTTGCTAAGCTTTTCCGGCTGGTCACTGCAGAGGAACTAGCAAACTGAAATAAAGATAATCCTTTAGCTTTAGTCAGTGAATATTTTCAAAATATAAGAGTAGCAAAATCAGCTAAAGATGTTATTTAGGGCAAACTGCACTGAAATACATTGCTTTAAGGAATATCTGCTACACTTTATTCTCCCAGTAGCTGCATTAAGGACCCACAGCTTCTTTGAATAAAAAGAAATCAGTGTCTATTAAGTTTTAAATATCAACTTGCCAACTTATAGCAATAAGTAATTGCTAATTGCAGATGCTGTATTATGTTAGAAATGAATTAGTAGGAAAACAGACATTTTTAATTTGCTGATATAAACTCTGTACTGCTTTGGGCATTCCTATTCTAGTGTGTCTTTACCAGTAAATTTAAATTAGTACTGTATAATAAAGCCAAAAGCATTAATTTCTGAGAGATCATATGAGATTTAGCACAGAGCTTTACATCTTTATTTTTTTTTTTAGAGCTCAGTTCTGATGACAGCCTTTTCCAGTTTTCCTGAACACCCCTCTGCTTACCTGTAATGACTCTATTGGTAGTACTGAGATGGATTTCTCTCTGTATGCTCTTGTTTCCAAAGGACTGGCAAGGAGCTGTGGTCCTTGCAAGGGCCTGTGACCAGTCTTTCTTTCTGTTTCCAAGTCTAAAATTACAATCCTGTTATTCCACTTTCATTCTCTCCATGCAGTTTATATCTTAACATAAACATTACATACTCTCACTTTAAATTCCAATAGCTACACATGTTTAAAAATGTATTTGATATCCAGATTTTGGGTTCAAATAAATCACATGGAATTACAGGAAATTAAACTAGAAGAAACCTCATTCCTTTCTGAAAGAGCTTACTTTTGTATTTTTCTCTATTTATGGTTTTCTTCCTTCCTGCATACTCAAAAAAAAAACCCCAGCTCCTAAGAGTAAGTTAATAAGTAAACATTCATACAATGCTCTTAAACAGTTCTGTTGCTGTTACCATGGAATAACAGGCTTTATCTGCAGAGAAAATCTGGGTCAAGCTTTAATTTATGCTTTGAGTATTTATTTTGAAATCTTTCTGCAAGCAAATATCAGTGAAGGACTCCATAAAAGATTTGCAATCCCATCAATTTAACAGCATTTTCTGGCACAAAGGGAAATACAGATTTGGCCTTGTGTTGCTGAGAAATGAGTGACATTTTAATAGGTTTTCAAGAAGTAATGAATATATGGAAGGTAATTTTTGTTCTCTATTTGCAATTGAAATTGGAATTCCCTAAGGATATTCAGTCTTCTGAGATGGTTTTAAAATTACTCATGTTTTACCAGCAATGTAAGAAGAAAACTTCACACTGTTTTCAGCTAAGACAGAAGTCTATTTCAGTTTATGAAAAAAATACCTTGAAAATCTTGGGGTGCTTCAGTCCAGGCAGGCTTGATTTCCATGTTCACTCCATTCTTCTTTTGTTCTGTAGTAAACATTGCACCTTCCCTCTCCTAAAAAGTAATTCCGTTGGAGTTCCAAATGAAATTCTTGGCTTTGCTCTAATCCCGTCTTCGTAGTCATTTGTTGTGGTTTTAAAAGTACATGGTTGAGGTATTTCCTTTCAATGCCAGCATTTGAAAAGCTTAAATTATAAATGTATTTTTAAAATATTTGACCTGAATTGGTCATAAAACACTGATGAAAAAAGAAAAAAATAATCTGTCCCCTGGACATTTTAATATTACAGAAAGGACCAAAGCTGAAAAGATGGGTAGAGAAAATAACATATATTGAAAGTAAAGGCAGTCAAAGTTTAATCTGTAAGTAATACCATACATACAACACTTTATGTTCACACAAGGGGTTACAATTGCTAAAACTTACCTGCGTGGTGACATCTTTTAGGAAATTCTTGTCATTGTCTTCAACAGAGAAAAGGATGTCTGGTTGCTTGTACTCTACCAGAAACACCTTTGTTACGACCGTACTCTCCCTGCAGTCCCTGAAAATCAGTGTTCACAAAGCTAAATACATTCCACAAGCCCATATGCAGCAGGTAGTACATCACTGATGAACATGGCTTGTTTGCTGGAACATCTCTTTCAAGCTTGCAAATCATTATTGCAGTTGATAAGTATAATCGTGGGCAATACTCTCAGGAACTACTACTTGGGTTTGGCTTTTTGGTTTGGTTTTGTTCTTATTAAGTTTAAAATGTGCACAACAAAAAGTTAGTAATAAAATATATGGATACTTTAACCACTCAGTATGTTTTCCATGTAAAAGTCTTGATAGTCCCAGGTCTGCTTTCTGGGGTAACTAGTGTTTGCCAGGGTTACAGAAAACAGAGAACAGCAAAACTTTTCTTCTATTCATAATATCATATTCATTTTCCTAGTCAAACAGCAGGCAGAACACAATCTATCTGACAAAACAACTGTCATTCTCTGCTATGTATTAAATTACAGCAGTAGCACTGAAATTGCTGTAATGTCCAAACCATTCATTTAGCAAATTCACTAGTTCCCCTGACATTTCTGATGATCACGCTCAAAAGGATGAGCTCCTCATACTAAAGTATAGTATATTTTATTAGTTTCTCATTCACAACCTCTAGGGATCATTGGCCTATGTCCACAACCCAGGAGATAATCATCTGAGAGATGTTTATCTGCACAAACACTTAATGGATAAAGAGCGTTACTAGAAAATTAAGTCCATGCAACCCAAAGATTGCTTAGATTGAAAACAGGCTGGGGAAAGGGGCATCTCCCATTCATGAGGTATGGAGTGCTTTAAACAACGTGGGTCCAAGCCATTACTAGGTATCTGTCCTTTGCTAGAATATTATTAGAATAAAACAGGATGCTTACTTTGTCACTGCTAGTGCCTTGACCACTATTTTTCCAACTGGTAATACAATAGGGCCCTCATACTTAAAAGTGCTCTGCTCTCTGTAGCCAGGTTTCCTGATGAGTTCTGGCTTACTTCCATCTAAAGTGTAATAAATAGAGACCTCAGGTGTATCTGAAAGAGACAAAGTAATTAGCCAATCCGTATCCAACCTGTGAAAAACAAGCTCTATGCATCAAAGCACTCATTACTGTGCTTGATTTTTCTCATATAAACAAAATAAAGGAGTTCCAAAAATGATGTTTTGGGACCAAAACTGTTTCTCCCATACAAATTAGTTACTGAATAAATACAATTTCATTTTAAGCAATATTGCTCTTCATAAAATAGCTGTGTGATGTTTTTGTATGAAAACATTGCAACAGCTTGTCCATTCTAATCACTGAAAAGCTATTTTCTCCCACCGTGAAAGGTGACATTTCCAAAATTGTACGGAAAACCTCTGGGTTGAGCCTGGCACATGATACTTTCAAGCACTGTTTTTGCACTCAAAGCAAAATGCAACAGCTTAGGAGTTTGATCTTGGAAGGAATTAAGACTGCTAATATACATGAAATAATTTGTATGTTAATAATATTGCTAGAATGCATAAAATTAAGTGTAAGTATATTTGGTGTACCAAAAAATGTTGGTTAATTTTGTAAGTTCCTTAATGAAATGCTCACTCATAAAAATAATAGTTAAATGCAAACAAAAGTATAAAGGACAGAAGTTTCAAATAAACAAATTAGAAAAGGTTTCATAGAGCCCACGCTCTTAGTCATACCTGATTTTATTTCTACGAGAGTATTTGTGTCTATTTCATGTTTAGCCTTCCCTGGAGGAGGAATTCGAAGTGGTATGACCTGAGGTACTGAGACAGAGCCAGCTGTCATTTTTCAATCAGCAGTGATCTTTTAAAAAGAAAAACAAAAAGGCAGACAATTTTTCTAAACAGAAGAATGCATGGAGAAATACAGTCTTTTAATGTGATTCCTTCTCTGCATTTTTCTCTTCAGAGAGATTTTTAAACTAGATTCTTTAAACTGATAGTTCTTATTAATATTTTCATGTTTCTCACATTCAGAAGGAACAAAATCCTCATGACTGTCACACTTCCAACTTATTCTTCTGTTTCAGAACTGTGAACAAACTTGAGATGAGCACTGTTGCTTTCATTTCACTTTGGCCTTCCTTGCTCAACTCTGATTTCCATGTATTCAAGTGAAACAGCTTTAGCATACCACACCAGTGGCACGTGGTAGGAGTGTGTAACAGCAGTTTCTTTACCCTAATCATGGCAGATGTGGAACCAGAGTGTTCCATTCTGGTCACTGGAATTGATACAAGATGTCCTGAAAAGGACTAAAGCCTGACAGCTATTGCTTAAGCTTATCTCAGCTATCATATGCCTTTAAGAACATACCTGTGAAACAGGTGCCAAACATGCATAATTGACGTGGTCATTATCATGCCACACAACTCAAGAATGAAAAATTGTATTTGGATATGATAACATTTTACAATAGAAAAAGATGTACTACAGGAACTGATACTCAGGGCCAGGAAACGTGTCTACACTAGAAGGATTTGGTATGTAAGCAGCCCTTTGAACGCCCAGAAGCGTCTCTTATACTGCTCATGGGCGCAGACAGTGCTGATGCCGCCCGGGAGGTGTTAGCCCACAGTGCCCGTCTCCTTGGCTGCCTTGCCTCAAACCGCGGTGAAGGAGCGTGGCCAGTCCTCGCCAAAATTCCCGTGGGCTGCAGACAGTCGCACGGCAGACACAGCAATGGGTGGATCGGATCTTTACCTGATGCCGGGGGACCGAGAGCGCTTTTCCTCAAGGATCCGCCTGTTCTGGGCACACCTGGACCGAAAGCACAGCGCCTGGTTTGTGCTCTCTGGGGGCTCGTCATTGATGAGACACCAGCGGTCCCGCC